AGAAGCTGCTGGCCAGCTACTTCAACGGAATGACTGGGGTGTGGAACACAACTCTGGTTGAAAAAGTAGCTCCAATCCCAGCCAAATGCAGGGTGCTGAATCTTCCCCTCTGGAGACTGCTCAGTTTCTACCTCCCCAAGCTATCAAGCGCCAGACCCTGAGAGGACCAGGCTGGAGTCTCCCGCCACAGACATGCTGGGTTGTGGTGCTGGGTTGTGGCCCTGGGGCGTGTCCTCTGCAGATTGCTGGGCCTCCGCAATGCTCGGGTGTTTCCAGCTCCAGTGATGCCAGTTCAACCACTCCGAGGGTAGGGCTTGGTGCTGGCTGTAGCCCTAAGAGGTTACAGTCTTTTTTTTTTTTTTCCATTGCCTCAGCTGGGGCCACCTTGTGGAGTCTGCAGCCCCCTCCGCCTTTCTCTCTTGGCTCAGCTTGGCATTTTGCAGGTGCTTCTTTGTGTTGTTTCTTTGATCTGAGACCAAGGGCGTCATTCCAGTCTCCTTTAAACCTTGGGAAAAGTTAATGAACACCATTTTGCCCCTGAAATTCCCCTGAACTCAACCCGCTGGCTATATATAGGTGAGGTCTAGGATTTCTAGCTTGTAGTCTGACGCCTGGATCATCCTTGTCATGTTTCAGAACCCCTGACCAGCATCATCCCCACGTGGACTCAATAACACATCTCCAGCTGCCTCCCTTCCTAACCACAGCTCCAGGGGCTGCTGTCCACAATGCTGGCCCTTTCTGGAGGCAAGAGTCGGCTTTCTCCTCCCCATCTCCTCCTCTCTTTCTGTCAGGCTGGCCATATAGATAACCCAGGAACTGGACAATTCTAGCTAGTTCTCGGACACGCCAGGGGCAGGGCTGAAGATCTTCGGAGCTGGGTGTGATCCAAAAGGACACTGTGCCACCCCCAGGGAGAGCGGCCAGTGAGAGTGGTGGTGCATGCTGATAGAGGCAAGCCTCCTAAGATTTCTTTCGAATCCATACTTAAGAAATAGTTAATAACGGCCATAACTTATTACATGTCTCTAATCTCTACAACAACCTTCCTTATTAAGTGCCCATTTTACAGAGAGGTTAAGTAGCTTGTACGAGGCCACAGAGCTCAGATTCTGGGAAGAAGTGTGGCTGTAGGTGTTCAAACCCACACTTTTCTGACTCCAAGGTGGCGGTTCCTGGTGGTTGCCCAAGCTACTGCCAGGTGCACCGTTTCTAGGTAGTCTTTTAAATCGGGGGTCTTCTTCATTTGGGAAACAGATCAAATTCTTCCCTCATTTCCTCTTTTCTCAAGGACTCACGCTCACACTCCAGTTACTACTTCTTCCTGAAAACAAATCCGCAGTTGACTGTCTCTGGTGACTTCTGGAACCCAGGCTCAGAGCTTTGCACTCAGCCTGTACACGTCTCTGCTCCGTTGAACGTCTTGCTTAATGTCACTAAGAAGAGCAGCTTAAGGCAGCTCTGCACTCCATTTTCTAGCCCAGAGAAAGCCTCCCCCTGAGCTCCCCGCCGGGGTACCCGCCCCGCCGCGCTTCGTGGGCGTTGCTGCTCCCAGCCCCTTGTCTGCCACTGCCGGCAGCCCAGGCCCGTGGACTCGAACCCATCTGCAGCAAAGTCCTTGGGCCGATAGAGCCGCAGGCCTTCCTTCCCCAAAGGTTACTGCGAGCAGGACTTGAAGGGAAAAGGAGGCCCAGCTGCCACTTCGTGTCCCTGCATAGCACAGGGACAGCGTGCAGGCGTGGAACTTAGGACGAGCACAGTCCTCCCGAAACCCCACAAAGCAGGCCTGCGACTTCTTCACAAAACCAAAGGGGGTGGGATGGCCGAGGGCTGCCGGTGGGTGCCTGGGGTTGCTGTGAACTGAGGAGCCCAGAGCGCTCCGGGCCCGCTGGGTGCTCTCCCTGCCGGCACGTGGATGCCCCGCCGCCGGTCGCCCGCGAACGTCTCTCAGGAACACAGATCTGGCACCTCCCTTTAGGGACCCGGACCGGGAAATTTCCATTTTCTATTTTGGGAGTAAGAAATAAACGAGACCAAACTCTTGCCCTAATCTCCCGCTTCGGGGCCTTCTGGCTAACGCGGGACAGGTGGGGATTGGAAGGCCCGGTCCGCGCTCCGGGGGAATCGGGGTCCGGGGAGCTTCCCGCGAGCGTGGTCCCCCACGCGGCGCCCGCAGCCTGCGGTCTTAGCAGGTTTTCGCCCGGCGCGTCCCTCGTCCCCCTCGGGAGGCAGGCCGAGGCAGCGGAAAGGGGTTTCGGGGGATTTCTGAGCAACGACAGATGAATGATCTTTTTCCCACCCAAGCGCACCTTCAAGGACCCTCTCACCGCGGGTCGCCGCGGGCGAAGGAGGACAGCGCCCCACCAGGCCCGGCTCTGACCCTGCGGGCGGGGTGGGAGCTCCTAGGCACTTTGCGCGGGCGTTTATTGCAAAAGTAGCAGGAAATCCCTTCTCCTGAGAGAGGGACAATGAGCTAGGACTAAAGGGAATTCAAGTGGAAAAATCCGTGAATGCAAGAACAACCCACAGCAGAGCGAGAGGTTTACATTAAGCTCTGTATGGTTCTTTCTCTTTCCGGTAAAGGTATTATTATTTTTCTCTGACAAATGTCTGGAGAAACTTTTCTTCTGGTGTTATTTAACCAACTCATTCTGCTTGGACATCAAACGGTATTATCTATTTTCTCTTGCAACACTAGCCAAACTGTCTAAAGAATGTAACTTTTTGCTCTTCCCCCAAAACATTTAGAAGGATAGTAATTTGAGTTAAAAATGATTTTCACTTCAAACATTCTACAAAACTTGTTAGGTTTTCAATTAAATTCATTTTAAAAATATTACTTTTTAAAGAATACCACCACATAAAACTTGCCTTTCTTGAATAGAATGCTTGTTTGGGCATTCATCCTAACAGTTACACACTCCAGTGAACAAGTACTGTCATTTCAAGCAATTTGCAGTTAGTTTTGGGCAACACCCCCAAAACTAATTTTCATTCTTTTTCGAAGTTACTTATAATTTTTTCTTCACATACCTTTTTGTGGCTCAGAGGTTAGTCCAGGTAGTTCTCATAAAGACATGAGCAGCTCCACTACCCACCTGCCTTTGGCTGTTGTTCTTGCTGTGGAAGCTACTGGGGGTGGAGGGTAGGGAATGGAGCTTTTAGAGATCTCCTGGGTGTGGAAGAGAAGGAGCCAAGAACATCACAATCTGGAGAGAAGCTCAGAGACTGACCAGTGAAGGGGGCAAGTAGCCAGGTTAAACAGGCCAGGCCAGCAAAAAGACCCTTCAGGCCTCAGACACTTTCCCCTGCATGAAGTGCTTTCCTCACTTCTGAATTCTGTCAGCTAAACATTTGAGTACATACATTATTTCAAAAAGATAGTTTCAATAGGGTGATGGGAGGTCATCAGTTATTCACGCTTTAGGAGAAAATGGGTCAATTATGCAGCGATGAACAGTGTACAGGAAATGGACATTTTACTGAAAGGAAAAGAAGGGTGGGTAATTTCCAAGTAGAGAGCAGTTTGAGCTCTGGAACAGCAGCAAGCTTGGGGAGGGTGCCACTGGGGAGTTTAGGGTAGCATGATTGGACACTTGAGGGCTTGAAGAAAAGGCTATTGGGTGTGAGGATGAAGAAGAAAGGGGGGCAGAACATTCCAAGACAAATTGTCTTTCAAAAATAGCAGGGTTAGTCTCTAGTCTAGGAAAAAGGAAGACATCTCCTTCTTATATGTTTACCTTATCTTACCCCTAGGACCCAGAAAAGGAGAGGCAGCAATACTAATAACTGTGGATTAAATAGATTTTTTGTCTGGGAACCTGTGACCATTTGTAACACCATAGGAGAATGAAATTGGAGGTCCAAGTTTTTTCACTTTTAAAGTTTTAGAACATAAGTTTTCATAAATTCAGGGATACCTCCACTCAATTTGCATGAACTGACTTCATCTGAAAATTACTTATGAATGAATGCAGTAGCACAATATGCCAGCATATTTTAGGAAAAAGTACAAAAATAATCCATAGAGAAATTACAAAGCATAATAATGTTATCTTTCAAAATCCTAGCAAGAGATTAGTTTGAGGGAATACTAATAATCAATTGCTAGTAAACATTACTAGCATTACTAATACTATTAGTTAACATTAATTACTATTATTAATAATACACAATATATGAGTTTGTAGCATACATTTCCTTTGCTATGGAAATGTGCTGCATAGTAATTAATTCTTTTAACAAATGTGTGTGCCTACTTGGTAAAAAACACAGTTTAATATCTTTTACTCATTTAAAATATTATAAAATAAAAAAGCAAGAAACAAAAACACAGAGCCAGATAATTGGGATGTTTGAAATACTGCAAACATCTTTTACTGCATTTAATCTATACAAGTCTAATAAATACAGAAGTGGTTGTGAACAAATGGATTTTTATTGCCTGCAAGCTCTTATACTTAGGAGTAGGAGAATATGTTGACGGAAGCACACTTGCTACCCTATACCTTGGGATTTTGTACACTTGAAAGAAGAAATGTTGAGAATGGAACAAGACATAAACCCATTGGATAATCTAGTCTATATTTGAGTTTGGCATTCTTTTAAGCCCAGGAAGATACCTGCAGATCAGAGTACTAAGAACCAAGGTTAAAGTGTTATACACATCACAACAATGGCAAATTAAGTACAAAACAAACATTTCACATAAATTACAAACTGTAAGGTACACACCATTTTAACGAGAGTACAATAGAGTTGGCGCAATGATTAGAAATGGCTTCTCACAATGTTGTGTTATGAGAAATACATATCTCACTTCATATACTCAACATTATTTTGATGTGATTACAGAAAAAAAGCTCAAATCTTAAAAAATGTTCATATGCCAATCACAAACAGAGCCAAAGTTCATTTTTAGGTCAAGCTACACAAAAGAGAATGATTTTCTTCAAAAAAATACTTGGCATTTTCCTCATTAACTCTGCTTCTGGGTTTACTTTTTAAAGAAATGCAAGCATTTTTATTTGGTCAAGACAACAAATGCAATCACATGGACAAAATACAAAAAACACAATGTCAGTCAAGGAACTCCTCTCTTCTCCAGAGCTGTGTGTTATCAGCCTTCTTCTTCTTCATCACTATCTTTCATAGTAATGCCCTGAAGTCCTCCTCCTTCTGAAACAGAGGCTGTGGCCTCTTCTACTGTTAAGCGTCTGTGCAGAGTATCATATGTCTTACTGTTCAGTGTTCCTTCCAACACACCCTGCAATCGGAAGTCCCTGTAGGTTTTCTGAGGGAAGAGGAGAGAATTTGTTTAGATAACTCAGATTATATGTACACAGATATGTATGTCTATATGTATAGGTATATGTACTCAGTTGACATTTCAAAAATGATCTTGGGCCACTAATGTGTTCATATGGCTGCCATGTTAATCATCTTGTTGGTGTACTTCTGGGGAGAAAATAGAATGAGAAGTTTTGGATAGTGCTATTCAAAATATAATCACTATGAATAGGTCACAATGTTGTGACTATCAGATGACAAATTAACTTTTCCCCCAAAACATTACTAATTGCACAGAATTTACTATTTGAATAAGCTATAACAAAAATAAAATGATATGTACTTATGCAAGTCTATTAAAAATGAATTCTTAGTTTTTTAAATTGAGAAGCTTTCCTTTAATACTAAAAAATGTGTTTCATTTTACAAAATACATTAGTTTTTGGGGGCATGTGTGTGGAGGGAAAAGATTGATCCTGTTATCAGTAAAAGAAATTCACATTTTCAGTATTTGTGAATTATAAAATAATTTATAAGTACCTCTGAATAAAAATTTGTGTACACCTAAATGTCTGTATGAATTCTGCCCTTTTCTACTGAAATTCCTTTGTAATATGAAGTGCCAAATTCTGGCATAAAGCTTCCATAAGTGGGATGATAAAAAATCTATTTACATTTTCTGTGAAACAATAAATTATAATTTGGTGTATTACATATCAAAAAATGGAACAAATACCATGTTATTGTTTCTACAGTGATTCTTAAAAGAACAAAATCCAACAAAATCCTTCTGTGACACTGAAAATATTAATTTATAAAACTTTCCTTATATTCACTTTTTAAAGTACAATTTTCTTGACATATGATTTCTATGGCTAAACCAAACTGGTATTTTATTATTATTGATTTTTAAAGTTGGAGAAAAGTCCAGAGTTAGATAAATGGGGAAATAAAGAAGATATCCCATTCTGTGGAAGCACTTCTAAGGCTATTTTAATGCTCAGTATCTTTCAAGATTCTTCTACTCTTTTATGTCAGATTTAGAATATTAAACAGTCAAACTTCTATGGACTGGCCCAAAGTATCAGTACATATTAACATGCTGCTATTCTGTTCTAAGTGATGGCTAGTAGCCATGTTTTCGTTGTTGTTTGCACTTAACAGATGAAAAAAGTCAAACAAGAAATACTGTACTTCATGGCCCAATATCATAACTCCAATAGCTAAAAATTAATGTTAAGAGATGTCTGATTTCACTGAACACAGAAGTGTTCATAATACTTATAACATTCAGAAAATATTATAACATTCAGACATTTGAGCTGAAGGTACTTATTCACATGACTTGAGAAGCACTGATAGAGGACATCCTAATCCCCTCGATATACCCACCTTGCCTTTACTAACAGCCTTCTGGGAAGAAGTAGAACCATTACGAGGTAGTGGGATCATTGGTATTTTCACATATTATCCTTCCGTGTTCTTCTACCTAATATGTGCCTCACAATACAGTTCCAAGTTTCAGAAGTGATATGTCAATAGTAAGACTGGAGAATTTAATAATATATATTTTTTTCATTTGGATAATCCCTTGATATAAGTTCATATCTGAAAAGTCCACATGTTCAAAAATAAACTGAACTCTGAAGAAGGCTGAACAGTATCTGAGGTCAGTGTCTCTACTGCAAGTAAAATTTAGATTCAAAGAGTAATTTTTTTCTTACGTGATCAAACCTATTTTCACTTAAATTTTAATAGTTTAAGACACATACAATCCACCATCCTTATATTCTGTTATTCTCTTTCTCAGTCATAAGTTATATGACTAAGGTGGTATTCTCTTACACCAAAACTCATGGTAATTTGTATCAGAACCAGGGAAGCAACTCTGAAAAATAAGTTTTGCCTAGATAATCTGGTAATGAGTATACAAAGCATTATTACCATAGAGATTTGCGTTTATTCCTATAACTGACTTGTAATTAGATTAAAAATGAAATGTGAAATACACAAAATATTCATCTATAGATGATATATCTAATATTAATATAAAATATTGTCCCCTTGACAATGATATACTGAGTTTGTGAGCTTGACTTTCTCATTTTATTGGAGTGACTTTTCTTTGACTTAGATTATCAATAAATGGGCCAAGACAGATTTGAATTGTGGATTTGCAGTCTCGAAGCCTTTCTTATTCTATTGCAAGCAATAGCCAGTTATGTGAGTTTCAGGGCAGATAATCCTTGCAAAATCTCTCTCCCTCTCTCTCTCATAAAATGTTATTAACAATTGGACATTCTCTGTGGCTTCCACAAAGGTTTGGTTGGCTCTTATTTAAGATAAGTGCCTACCACAGGGTGCTGTTCACTTGTCTTCTTTTTGCCTAGCAAATTTATGTTAACTGCTTTTAAATGTCATATGATCACTAGAAAAAACACAAATTCAACAACCATTTTGATTGTTTGAAGATTCTACCTTCTCCCCACTCCAAATAAATCATTCTGATGTTAAAACTTCAAAAGTAAGTTCATAGTCCTTAAATTTTTCTAGAAAGCTTACTGGGATTTGTTTTTTTCTGCATGAGCAACATGAATGAACCAATTAGCGTGTAAGTTATCTTTGTAGGGCAAAGTTGGCTATTATATAGATTTTGATGACAAATGGGTTTCCATGGGCATAGAAGAGTGACAGTGCCTATGAGTAGTAGGCACTAGATTGCTAGAGTCGAGTAGCTTGGATTCTGGGTAGAATGCACAACTCGGCTATAATATGCAGGCCAAGTCCAAGTAGAAGGAAAGCCTGCAAATGGGACTTAACGATTCTATACATGTTTTATTTCGTGGCTTCTTAAATTCACTGGAAAATGATTATTATGAAAAAAACCATACAAGTTCTGAAGAATAATGAATCTATGTATGAAACTGGCTAAAGACTGTTTATATTCAAAGTAGAAAAAACAATTAGAACATTAAATTATTAATTCACCTTGATTTTCATTATGAAAATAATCATTTTTAATTATTAAATAGAGCCCTATAACTTGATTAAGTGTGTCAGCCCAAGAAAGCATTAGCTGAGCCTGAGGACTCACTTGTGAAAAGCAAAACATGGAAAATCAAACATATTCATGAAATTTAATTTCATATTTATCAGTCTTGACTACTGACAGCCATAATGAAGACTATATCAAAATAAGATATACACTGATTGGCTTAGAGTACAATCGAAATTTCATCATATAGTTTATTAAATTATTAATTGTTCTTTTATGCTAAAATATGCACTGGTGAGAATACTGAAGATCTTTCTAACATTCTTAGAAAGTTTCAAATATACAATACATTATTAACTATAGTCACATGCTTATCTTGAAGATATACGATTTTTACTTGTCAATTATACCTCAGTAAAATTGAAAAAATTCCACCAGTGCTTAGATGTGTGAATATGAGAAAAGGAATAACTATGAAAGAAACAAGTGATAGGATAATAAAATTTGGAGATTTTTATTTTCTAAACAAAGAGCTTAACAATCTCTCAACGAATACTAGTTGGCTAAATATGTAACTTCTGACATCCTGAACACAGTAGGCATTAACTTGAAAACATGGCTTATCATAAAGATAACCAGTTAATATTAATCACCATATAGACTACAACCTTAACATATATTTAGAAGGTAAATACATTATCCTAATTCTCTTTTGTGAAAAACAACCTTCATTTGAAGGTTCTTCGAGTCACATTTAGAGAAACAAGGAAGAAACGTTGAAGAACTAAGCCAAATATGAATGTATCATATTGTTCTTTCAGTTTCTTTGCAAAATAAATAACACCAAGTAAGAAATGTTCTGGATCAAAGGTATTTTCTCTGTTGACATGTAATGTATAGCTATAGTATTAAAATTTTGTGGGTGGCTATAATTTTACTTGTTATTTATGACTAATCATGATTGCTATTATTGTGACATTACAGGTCTGGTTCTGTGTTCCAGTAGATTTGCCAATTTCTGACTTTGGAACAGAATTTCCTATTTGTTAGCCTTTCTAACAAGATAACAAGTATGTCTATGGTACAAAAGAATTTGTATTCTAATTAAATTGCAGGAACCAAGAGAAAAATTGAAAGTATCTTAAGGTAGGAAGAAACTTCTTTTAATGGTGTATATATAACAGAGTAGTTCCTTGCAAACTTCAGCATGTATTAGAATCATCTAGAGGGCTTGTTAATATATAGATTGCTGGGTCCCATCCTCTGAGTTTCTGAATCATTAGGTCTGGGATGGGGCCCAAGAAGGTGTGGTTCTAACAAGTTCCCAGGTGATGTTGATAATACTAGGTCAGAGTGACACTTTGAGAACCACTCTATATGTGTGTGGGTATATTCACACGTACACATACATACACATAAGTGCACATACATACATTATTTGTATGGGCACACACATGTGTACCATTAGTAAATGGTACTAAAATGGAAGTAAAGGTCTTCTATTTAAAGGAAAAACTGATTCTCAATAGCTTAATGTTTTCAGCCATAAGGTGGAATTTCTGTCTCAATTATAAGAAAAGGTTAAACTTGGGGTAAGTTTTGTGCTTCCACTAGAACTTACAAAGTGTAAAAAATCATGTTGAATAAATATATTATTTTAAAGCCTTCATTTACTAAATATAACATATAGGTTATAACCTCTTCTCTTGAAGACCAGAAGTCAAAATGGCCTTGCTGAACTTATATGACATCGGTGTTAGTAGTTTTGAACAGTCCCCACACTCAAACTGATTATCTTTTACATATAAGAAGGAACATTTTTTCAAAAGAATTCAGGCAGTGACAATGTATTGCTTTTGCACCAGGATATAATCAAATAACAGAGACTCTCTTTATTCTCCTGGCAAATACAGTTAGAAAGCCCTCATAATGATATATGATCCTAATGAATATAAAGTATATATATATAAGACAATTAATGCAAAATTATTACGGACCTACTACATTCAGGTAAATGTGCTAGTGGCTGTAATATACATAATCTTAAAATGTGATTACTCGCTAGCAAATATTTTTTATTTATTAATGCAAAAAGGTAAATTTATGTTTATTTAGCAATCTAACTGAAAGTGGAAGTAAACGGTAGCATATCATTGCTAATAAGCGATGCTTTTTAAGTACTTAGATTCACTCAGTGATATCAAATAGGATTTTCCTGTATGTCAATATCTTCCCATTATTCTTTATAGGTGGGTGGGCAATTCACATCTAAACACATTTTGTTTACCTTCACAATCTTGATGAGCGTCTTCAGTTGGTAAATATGAAGCTGGAGGTCTAATCTATCAGCCAACCACAGGCAAATGACTTTCATGGAATTGCTGTACCATTGCTGGAGAGAAGGGTTGGGGCAGAGGGGAGGAGGACAAAAAAGAAAACAACCTCTGCAGTATTCATTTAACAGATTCGGTAATGAGGGGGTAATGAAACACTCCGAAATGACCACGGATCAGCACTTGAAGTCAATAATGCTGTAATTTCCTGTTAACAGAATTGTATGTTTTGCTAGAAAATCTGCTAAATTGACCTAGGCTGTTCTTTCCATGAATTAACATTACAGTTGTTCAGCTGTAACATATTCATGGAAACCGTGTTTTTGCACTTCACAGCCTAGTGGCCTGCTTTGTAATTTGTAGGTAACAATGAGTACTAAATACATGTTATGGGACTAAATGGATGGCCAAGCAGCAGGAAAAAAGAGGTAAATTATTTTCAAAAGAAAATTTTCTGTTAGCCTGCATGTTAAGTAAAAATCAAAAAGAAGATCTGTTATGCCATAAGGCATGCAGTCAATACCTAAAAATAACTTTTTAAAGGAGTGATGGCAAAAAAATATCCACAACTTACTAAACGGTAATCCCCAATGACACCTTTACCTACTATTGGTTGTTAAGTATTTGCCAAGACATTGTAAAGCCATGTAAAATAAAGATTTATTGAGATCTTAAGAAGGAACAATATCAAGACGGAATTCTTATGTATCATAAGAATCTCAAAATAGGTGTCAGTTGGCCAGATTATGAAAGGAAAGGATCTATTTCATTTTGTGTTTTTGGTGGGTTCATAAATTTTTCTGTTTTTTACAACTCTTTTGAGGGAAAACCAGAAATTCTTTTCTAATGCAATTTTCTGCTCCTATATAATGTTGGTGATTATAGTAAAAGAAGAAATTTTGTTCCTATTTTTAATAAAAGGCAATCTGCCATCAGAGGTGACATTTTAAGGGATTCAGTGATGATGTGCCAGAGCTAGGTTTAGGTAATACTGTAAGAATAATGCTACCCATTCAGAAAACTGTGAGAAATCGTAACATCCCTTCAACACTTAAGAAATTACAAAAGGGTTTTTGAAAGAGAAGGAATTTTGTGCCTTGCTTGTATACACAAACCTAGTGACAGTCCAGATCACATGTGTGTATATGTTCTTAGGTATTCAAACACAGAAAAAAAGTCTAAAAATAAATTTTCCTCCACATAATAAAACAGTATATTCAACATCTAAGCATAATCTTAAGTGATCCAAGTCTTAAATTTATCTGGATGTGTATTTGTTAACATTGATCTAATGTGATTTGTTACAATAAGAAATGGTATTTTAAGTATAAATTAAAAATGAGTTTCACATTTCATCATACTATTTCTATTAATTTGTTAGTATATCGAACATACATGCATAAAATGAGATAAGCTAATTAAAAGTGAATAAATGATTTATTAAATACTATCAATCAAATGGATGAATAAAAATATGTCAAATTTTTTAAATATGGGACTGTGATTTTTAAAAAATATGCTATTCATGTACCTAATTTCACTCCTTCCTAATGATTACTTTCTTAATTTTCAGGACATGTAAAAATATCAGCAATATGTTTTATAAAATAAGACACCTACACAACTACATTCTTAAAATATAAACTGCTAGTAAATTCAATTGACATGTTAAATCTAAAAATCTTTCATAGATACTCACCTTAATTTTTGACGTAATTTAAATTCTATCCTTATTTCACATTATAAAATAATTTGAAGTCTTAACTTCTTGAGTTCTATTTTAATATAGGTAAATTCTCACAAGTGTTGCTGATATAGAATATGAGCATACTGAATTAGGACCGCCTCCCCCCCCACTCTCAAGATAATTTGAAAGCTAAAATGTTAACAGAATGGATGCAACTCTTAAAAATTATAGTCCTTCTGCAAAGGATAGTAAATTTTTCTTTTTTGTTCAGGGAGAGAAAATATTATATATTGTACAATGGCTAGCATCACCAACTAATCTGTCTGTTAGATTGTGTAGTTACTATGTTCATGGTAAATTGTATAAATTTGAGAGAAATGAAAATACTTTCTTAAAATTACTCCATATGCATCTTTATGTTCTTAAAAATCCTTACATGATTTAAAAATAATTTAACTTTATTTTCCCATTATCTATAACTGGTGTTTATGATTAAGGACATGTAATGTAACACAGAAATTATTAATATGGTAACTTCTTTAACACAATGCCAAAATTATAATTTTAGAGAAAAAGAATTTGGGAATAAAGTGATCTAAAGTTAATTATAAAAATAGAGAAAAAGAGAACCCTTGTTAGGTAAAATGTTTAAGCTACTTTACCATCATCTTACTTTGAAAGTAAATACATTATTCTATAAGAAAAAGTCTCTAAGAAAAATTATCTTATAAGAATGCATATTTTTGGTCCCTAAGTCAAAGCCCTTTGAAGAGGCATTTCAGCTAAATTAAGCAAATGATTAAGGGAAAGCAGTAGCTTAACTCAGAGTGTATGCTGCCACTAAGAATAGGCTAACAAAAAAAATTCCACTACGACTGTTTCTTTTTTGTATATGGTGAAACTCGAACACACACACACACCAAACAAACAAAGCCACCAAACGGAAACCCCTAGTACTTTCTTATTTCTAGTGCTGGAATTAATATGTCCTTCTTTTGAGTGCTGAATATGGTAGGTCCCAGTTATTTCATGTTGAGAAACAAATCAAAGGTTGGTTACTTTCATTCTCTGCCTCCCCCGACCCCACCAAACCTAATCAACCTCCCCCAAAAAATCCGAAAAGGGTGAATGTGCAGTAAAGTCTGTATGTTAGGAGCTGTCTTCTCATTCTGGAAAAGTTAATTTTATAAAACAACTTGGTTGACTATCCACTTTTCCCTTCAGGGGATGACAGGGAAGGGCACTGCGGCTTGCACTGAAGTCATGGGTACGGCATTACTGCTTTATTCTTTGCTTTGGTCTACATAGGAATAAAGCAATAAGTGTATATTTTACAATTTTTTTTTCTACATCAATCCATGACAGCAGCCTACCACTTTAGCAAAAAAATATGTTTTTTTTCCTTCTTTTTGTGGTTCATTCAACTCCTGTAAGGGCATACGTTACTCACTTCATTTTCTTGAGATATCTCTTTTAAAGCAAAAATAGAAGAAAAGGAAAGGCTAGGGTTGACTCTGTGAGACCCTGTATTTATTCACACTTATTGTGCATGACTGTAGACTGGTAAATCATATTAGCAGCCCGTCTCCCCATCAAGCTGCTACTTGCTTTCCAGCCCTGGGAAGGCTCAACAAATCAACAGGAGCACGGAAAACAGAACATCAGTCTAATCTAGTGTTTAAGGTGAAGTTTTCAAACCCAATCTAAGAAGATCTTTAGAGCAAGCAACAAGCTGAAGGGCTCAGAAGGTGGTATTGACAATGAAAGAGTGTTGAAATATTGAGAAGCGCAGCACTTGTGCATTTTTAATAACAAGAGGGTCAACAAGGACATAGCTCCCTCAGTGCCAGGAGTTGCCACTGACTATGGAAATTGCCACGCCAGGGCTATAAATGCTTGCAGTTCATCAGCTTTCTTAAACAGTTCATCAGCTTTCTTAAACACCCCGAACCCCCTCAGTGGACCTTTAGTCTTGAATTAACAAACCAAAGCAATGAAAGAGGGTGCAGTCTGAATGGCTGGCATTGATCCCCAACTGTGTCAGCACTGCTACAGGCCCTGAAAAACTCTCTCCATTGTCAATAGAAATTGACAAACCTCCTCTCCTAAATAGTGCAGCTGAGCCGGGCGGGATCCACGCAGCTGTAAAGGGCTCTGCTCTTGGGGCCAGGGAGCACTAACAATAGAACAAGCATGAGCTCTTTGTCAGTCCCAGACTTGGCAATTTTCTAACAAGGATTAAAGTTGTTTCTCTGCAGAGCTGGTGAAAAGAGATTTAGCAACATACCGTGCTTTCTTCATGCAAGTTAAAGAGAAGTAGTTAAGGAATTTCATTATTCTGTTGAAGAGTGGAAATACAAAACAAATATATTAAATATGCACAACTCCCTCTTTTTTTTGCCTAATTTATAACATTTTGAGGATGATTCAATTAAATATAACACTTATCGCCTGGAAAAAAGTACTTCACATCTATTTTGGAAGTTTTATTTAAAAAAAGTCCAGCTGCTTGCCACCTGGAATGAGGTCTCAATACATACTAATGCACAATGCCTTTAGACCCTCTAAGGCTGATATTCCTAAATCTGAATCATAAGACCCCATAGGGTTTATATATCGCTGCTGCTTCAAGCAAATGATTTCTGTCAGAATGCGGCTTCTGATGATGATGGCAAGGTAAAAATAGCTGCTTTGCTAGGGCACAAATCTGTGATATATTTTCTGCTTCAGTGTTTAGTTTTTTATTGATTATGAATTGGTACAACTAGTTGATATATTTTTATTCTTCTCCAGCTATCCTTGTTTCAAGAGGTGAACAACAGGGGGAAAAAAAGAAAAAAAAAGAATCAACAATTTTTAGTGCAGTAAGACATGGAATATCTAAATTTCCACATTATGAATGTATTTCTTCATTTATTTCAAGAGAAGCTATTTGAAAAGAATTGAGTCACTGTGTTGAAATAACACCTAGAAAATCTCACCTAGAAAATATGTACTTTTAAATGTAAAGTTAAATTGACTAAAAGAACAATATTTTTTCAGTGCTGATGGTTTTGTAAGTTCAATAAATATAAGACATCCTTTAGGATCATTTAGTAGTAGCTTTAGAGAGAAACAAAATGTTTAGAAACATTAATGCCCTACAGATTCACCATTATATTAAAAAGTAAATATAAATGCTTCAATATACTTTGAGTGTTCATTTTGTCAATAGTACATCTATTTAATATAACTAAAAATTATGGCTCCATTTCACTCACTTCCCATTTCTAAACACTAGAATGCAAATTTTATATTAATAGTAGATTTGATACAATAATGCCAGGTTTTCCCCTCTATTCAAGGCATTTCACTGAAACTATTATGCCTAGT